CTAGAGCATTCCCATTCATCTGAATTATCCGCACAGTCGTACGGCACATTGTCACAATGCTTTTTATTCGGTATACACTCACCACTCAAACATTTAAATTCGTTGTGGCCGCATGTCACTAGAATATTAATAAAATCATTAAAAAAAATCATTTGCAAACTTACTTTAATTTTTCATGCATTATATCGTCCATTAAATAAGTATGCTTATACAGTTTTAATTTGCTCATAATAATACATAGTATTAGTATTGCATGATGATACAATATCTTAGCTTTTAACACTAAAAGAGATTTATGAAAAAAATTATTTAACTTTTATGTGATGTACACATTGTCCCAAAAAAAAAAAAAAAAAAAAAAAAAACGTTACCGATCACTCCAGCACACCTAGGACCTCTAAAACCTGGGGTACAAGCACACTTAAATTCACTTCCTTTCGATTGGTTTATACTCAATGCAATGCATAGACCTCCATTTTCGCAATAGTTTGTTTCGCAAATACCTATAACAACTGTATGATTGAAATTATATTAGACATTGTATATACATTTATATCAAATGACAAAGCCGTTAAAAATACGTTAGCCAATCATACACAACACATCCATTTTTGTGTATATTTTTAGTTTTTAACCTCGGCAAGGCAAATAATATGTTTCCTTGAGTGAATTCCAAAGCTTAATTTTTATTGATAAAAAATGCAAAATTATTTTAAAATGATTTTCTGTCTTAGTAAAATCGATTCACTCCTCAAAAAATGATTTATTGTAGTCAAAATTGATTAAAAAAATTCAATGCAATGGTAAAACAAACCAACAATTTCAAACTCTGTAATGTGAAATAAATCGAATATGCCTAGATAAAAACTAAATAATCAAATAAAACAGGCGGTCAAAATTTCAAGTTTATGTGGTGTAGTGATGATTGTGACTATACTATTAAACAGTTATTAGTCAGGTTTGGAGTACATTATAGGACGTAGAAGCCGATGGAGCCACTACCTCTTAAGGACAGAAAACACTTTTTGATGGAAATAATGGTTCCTAAGTCTTTCCTATTATAGTGTACAAAATTGCATGAATTCGGTTGTCCATCACCTTTTGTATGGCATTTTATAATCTAACTGCTGGTAGAATGGTTTTTATACGCCCTGTATCATAAATGGTTGTTATGGACGGTTGCTCAGTGATCAATGTGTGTGCATTAGCTGTACGTATTAAAATAATTTCTTAGAAGTAGGCACACTGACACTCTTAACCCAAGATACTATTATAAGTACAATATAGAGCATTCGCAATGCAAATGTGAGGTAAATATACGTAACATCTTTTACGCAAATCCACTCGTAACTTTAAGCGCCCCGAGGGTGTAACAACGTGAGACACTATATATAAGTCCAGAAATATTATTAATTATTACAGTAATTACAGTCCGGTCATACGATTCTTACGGAAGCACCTAAGTGCCATTCGACTTGACGACTTGTTAAGATAATTTAAGTTGTCAAGTCGACATAATATACATATTATGTCGACATGAGAAGATAAATTATCTTGCCAAGACGACATAATGAAAATATTATGTTGTTATGGCGAGATAGGTTATCTTGCAAAGTCGAAATAATACAAATTGAATGTTGTCATGGCGAGATAATCTTGCCAAGTAAACATACTAAAAATGTTATGTTGTCATGACGAGATAGGTTATCTTGACAAGTTCACATAATACAAATTCAATGTTGTTATGGCGAGATAGATTATCTTGCCAAGTCGACATAGTAAAAATGTTATGTTGTCATGACGAGATAGGTTATCTTGACAAATCGACATAATAACATTTGTATGTTGTCATGGCGAGATAGAATTTCTTGTTAAGTCGACATAGTAAAAATGTTATGTTGTCAGGCGAGATACATTATCTTGCTAAAGACCAGGTCACACCTACACCGATAACGATACTGATACAATAAAATTATCGGTGTGGTGTAAATTAATGGAAGTGGTCACACTATAAGAGTAACGATACGATTATCGTGAACGATAAAGTCGCTTCAAAAGTGGTTCGACCGATACGGTGGAATACCTTTTGAAGCGCTTTTTTTTAATATAATTATCGGGAACGATAAACGTATCAGCCAACCTGAGAAGAGTAGTCAAGGAAGATGAAAAAAAAAAACTTCCTGTGATTGACCGAACTCGCTAGCGATGGACGTTCAAATTGAGAGCCTGATTTTGGAGGTTAAAAAAACACTTTCTTGTATGATTAATTAAATTTAAGTGTACTCTAGAATTATTTTCCTTTGTAGATATTGTGACTGTATTTAACATCTTTCAATCTTCTGGCTTTATTTAAACATTATAAAATATTAACGATTACATTATATCATATAATATATTTTTCAGGTATACTAAATTAAATAAATATAAACTCTGAAAGTAAATTTACGTAGATTACATTAATAAAAATGTCCATAGTAGTAATCTTTATCTATTCATTAACAATAATAACATTTCCAATTTTCTAATCAATTAGAACTAGTTTCGAACCTAGGCAAACATTGCTAATTAGGCTACATTTTCTCCATCAAAAGGCTTTTTCTGTGAATGGAATAACCTGTTCGAAGCATAAAATCCTGTAGACTAAACCCAGTATCGTTACGATTTTTCTTCGTTGTGGTCAGGTGTGACCGCAAAGACAACGATATATCGTTATCGTTAATTGGTATCGTTATCGGTATAGGTGTGACCTGGCCTTAAGTCCACACAGCAAAATTTTGGCGCCGGTAAACCTGCACGTACTTGTGAACAAACAACCCATGAAAATTGAAAATCGTCTATCTCGCCATGACAACATGACATTTTTACTCTGTTGACTTGGCAAGATAAATTATGTCGCCATGACAACATAACATTTTTACTATGTCGACTCGAAAAGATAATCTATCTCCCCATGACAACATACAATTGTATTATATCGACTTGTCAAGATAACCTATTCGCCATGACAACATAACCTTTTTAGTATGTCGTCTTGGCAAGATAGTTGATCTCGACATGTCGACATGATATGTACATTATGTCGACTTGACAACATAACTTACTTGACAAATCGTCAAGTCGAAAGGCACTTAGGTGCTTCCGTACATAATACACTTTATAAACCAAATTATATTTATTTATCTCCTTATTTCCAAGTTTCGCGAAGATCTGTGTGAACTGCCAAGATACTAGAAATAAAAGATAGAGTTCTCCACATAAAAAAGTCTTCCACTGAGACACATGGTAGGGATACGAACAATGGGGCGCTGAGTACGGTTGGATCTAAAAGACTTCTACCAAAATTTACATCACCCTGAATACCCGGATGAATACATAACCGCTTTTAGCAGCCCATTTGGTTGGGTAAATATTATTGCCACCCATAAAATACAAACAAGTAGGCATAAATAAATCAAAAGAATAAAATAATTTACACAAAATTGTAGAATCTACGGAAGTGCCATTCGACTTGACTTGTCAAGATAATTTATGTTATCAAGTCGACATAATATATATATCATGTCGACATCTCGACATCAACTATCTTTTCAAGACGACATACTAAAAAGGTTATGTTGTCATGTCGAGATGGGTTATTAGGTAGGCCTAACCTCTTAGTATACATTTCTACATCTACATATTATCGTAAACATAATTATTTCAGCATTGCATTATTTTTTCAGTTCTTTTGTAAGTCAATCCTTCCTCCTCCGAATAGCCCTGTACTCATAATCCATTATGCCTTTCTAGGCCATTCTAGACGGTCTATGCTTCATTTGTGTTTTATTTTTATTATTATCATCATCGTCGTCGTCGTCGTCGTCGTTATCATCATCATCATCATCATCATCATCATCATCATTATTATTATTATTATTATTATTATTATTATTATTACACTCTGTTTTTGGACCAACATATTTTTTTTCTTTCTTGACGATTACTCTTTATTAATAATAATAAAAAAACAAGAAACAACCACCCTACACCTTCCATTGCATAAAACTGGTTGATTTTTTAACAGAAGAGATTTTTTTAATGAATAACATGGAAATTCTAATTTTACATTATAACTTGATTTTTTTAATTTTTTATGATACCCCATTTAAAAAAAATTATACACGGAATCTGTATTGGTCTTTAAAAGCCAATTCCTTTCTAAACAGAAATTACATTTAATCAGTTTCTTAAAATGAAAAATGCTTGGTGACTGATTTCCGAATGTACAATTAAAAATTTCGTTTGTGAAGTTACAGTTTCGCCCATCGTTTTTACAAACATTTGGTAAACCATTGTTGTTTTAAGATTATTTAACAAAATCTCTTCCCAATGACACGTTACATTTATTTCGATAGGATTCCAGACATTTCTGACAAACCTGATTTTAACTGCCGTTTCCACCTGAGTTTGAAAAGATTCTATAATGCTTCTCCAACATAAACAAAATATTTTCATGAGGAAACTTCACCATTTACCAAATTTTCAATTTTTGAACCAGGTTTTGCCGATGTCTTCTCTCTATTAATTACTGCTTCGGGGAATTTTGTAACAAGTTTAACAGTGAAGCTTATTGGTTGTGAATAGTTCATAAGAAGACTAGCACAATTAAATCAAAAACGATGTCGTAACTTCTAACATAAGTCATTGATTTTTAACAGGGGGGCTAGTGGAGTGAATCGAGTCTCACTTGGCTGGGGGCCAAGGGGCTGCCCAGGGCCCCCGGTGGGGGTCCAGGGGGCGAGGGCCCCTGGAAGCCACGGATATTTGATGAATTATGGCGAAATTGTATTACTTATTTGATAGGCATCGAGAGACTATAATATGACTTCATGTAGGCTATGCTTTCTAATGTTGACATCAGCTTCCAAAACCAAAACATTTTGAATAAAGCAAGAAACAAAGTGTAGCGAAAGGTCAGAACGACTACCCACAGGTTAGCAATAACGCAACTATACCACGGCTTGAGTTTGATATGAATTTGTTTATTCAAACGTTTCTCATTCGATTCTATAAAAATACAGAATGGAACAATACCATGATAACATCATAAAACAACTGTAACTACATTTCATGAATCATAGTAAAATAATCCTGAAATTCCTTATGGCAAACATAAGTCAAACTTAAAGATAGCATAAGTTCAGTCATTGAAACATAGTACATCATTAAATATACCAATAAAATCAATAAATATTGTTGGAGTATAGCAATCATGATCCGTAAACAACCATATTGCTTACAATGTACAATGTAAAAATTATATAGTTTTCAATTAACTTACAACTTTGCCGGGTATAATTACACAGTTCAGACGGATAATCAGTTCCGGTCACAGATTGTCATTACAGTACATGAATACTCCATATCCTATATTTCAAATAGAATCATTATAAGTTTGCAAATACTGAATAATCATGGTAGGGAAACATGCAATATTAAGGGTTCATTTTGAGTTATCACTGAACTAACTTCCAAGAATAAACTATCTTAAACAAACCCTCATTGCATAACAAAGGAATCAAGCCTCCTATCTTAAACCACTGTTAATCCTCTACCAAGCATACATTTGTGCTAGGTTAACCAAAATCATTCAAGCGTGAAATACGAATTCCACAGTTCATTCAAGCGTGAAATACAAATTCCACAGTGAATGTCTTTACACAACAGGTCTATATGGATAATGTTTAAGTCATACATATTGCTTAATATACCAATATTCATATATGCTCTAACATGGATACATAGAATAAATCTTTCATTATAAGGTATATAACAAGATAACAAATTGATTGTCTATATCATGAAATATAAGCTTCAATAATATGTCTCAACATAGCTAAATAGCAGTAGGCCTATGTCAAACAATGTGATGGCTCTATAGCTCATCATACAACATAATATCCATAATTAAGCCTAAACATCATTGTCATCAATAGATGAAGAATACAGTAACAATCTATAGACTTACATTATCATTTCACCTTAAGTAGACATTCTTAAACCAGCATTAAACAGAAAATTATACATATTTTCTGGACAGCTCAGAACACATGTTTGCACTTGCCGCTTCCTTGGCTTGCTGTGATTCACCAATGATGCACCAATGGCATCATAGACAATGGTGGCGCTATTTACATATGCTAATTAGCATCTAAGATTATATAAAATCTTACATTCCCCCCGATAATGAGGAAATCTCATTATAACCAATACGTATGAACACAATCCCAAATGCATAAATAATTAACATAACTTCAATCAGTCATCAATCTGTAAATGTTACCTCAAGTAAAATATAAATTTAAATTACACCATAACGAGACTATCAAAATATATCTGATAACGTCTACTAGTAATCTATCATGGTACATGCTTGTACAGCACATCTATTACCATTGTTCGAGTTTAATTAACTTTACTACTGGGCGCTTATATGTTTTTCCCTTAATGGTGACGTCCGCAACTCTAACTTTACCGTCCGCACTAGAATAAATTTCACTCACTTGTCCTGTAAGCCAGTCACCTCTCTGTACTTGGTTATCTATAACTAAAACTTGGTCACCTTCCTTTAGGTTGTCCGCTTCTTTGAACCATTTTTGTCTGATTTGCAGACTCGGCAAATAATCAGCTACAAATTTCTTCTGTCGCGTTAGTTGATACGAATAGCAAGGCAGGATCCCGTCGACCCATAAGTAACATATGCGGAGTGATTGGGTCGGAGTCAGAAATATTTGACGAGGCGTATCCCAAAGGCTTGGAATTCATAAGGCTTTCTACTTCCACAATGACAGTCTGAAGAACGACTTCCGTGACTACTCGATCTTTGAGGCAGCACTTTATGGCATTCTTTATGGACTTTATTTCTCGCTCCCAGATGCCTCCAAAGTGGGGTGCGTTTGGCGGATTAAATTTAAATTCGACTTGTTGGTGAGCCAATTTTGCCTGTAGTTCTGGACTCATGGCCTTAAAACATTCATGTAGCTCACGCTCAGCCCCCTTGAAATTGGTTCCACAATCTGAGTGCAGTTCTTTTGGAACTCCTCTCCTGGACACAAACCTTCTAAATGCCATTATAAATTCATCGGTATTCATGTTCCTGATAATCTCCAGGTGGACAGCTTTTGTCGTCAAACATTTAAAGATTATACCCCAACGCTTCTCTTGGGATCTACGTACTTTAACTGTCATGGGTCCCCAACAGTCCATGCCCGTAGAATAGAATGATGGTTCTCGAACACGCAGTCTAGCTTTAGGAAGGTCAGCCATCTTTGGGATTCCTGGTTCTTTTCTCCATTTTTGACATGAAAGGCAGTGGTTTAACTCTGACTTGATTTTACTTCTCCCCTTGAGACCTTCCTTTAGGTTGTCCGCTTCTTTGAACCATTTTTGTCTGATTTGCAGACTCGGCAAATAATCAGCTACAAATTTCTTCCAAAAGAGGTCAATAATGAGTTGGCTATGACGCCACTGCTTCTTGCTTCTTATTTCTTTTGTCGCGTTAGTTGATACGAATGGCAAGACAGGATCCCGTCGACCCATAAGTAACATATGCGGAGTGATTGGGTCGGAGTCAGAAATATTTGACGAGGCGTATCCCAAAGGCTTGGAATTCATAAGGCTTTCTACTTCCACAATGACAGTCTGAAGAACGACTTCCGTGAATACTCGATCTTTGAGGCAGCACTTTATGGCATTCTTTTTGGACTTTATTTCTCGCTCCCAAATGCCTCCAAAGTGGGGTGCGTTTGGCGGATTAAATTTAAATTCGACTTGTTGGTGAGCCAATTTTGCCTGTAGTTCTGGACTCATGGCCTTAAAACATTCATGTAGCTCACGCTCAGCCCCCTTGAAATTGGTTCCACAATCTGAGTGCAGTTCTTTTGGAACTCCTCTCCTGGACACAAACCTTCTAAATGCCATTATAAATTCATCGGTATTCATGTTCCTGATAATCTCCAGGTAGACAGCTTTTGTCGTCAAACATTTAAAGATTATACCCCAACGCTTCTCTTGGGATCTACGTACTTTAACTGTCATGGGTCCCCAACAGTCCATGCCCGTAGAATAGAATGATGGTTCTCGAACACGCAGTCTAGCTTTAGGAAGGTCAGCCATCTTTGGGATTCCTGGTTCTTTTCTCCATTTTTGACATGAAAGGCAGTGGTTTAACTCTGACTTGATTTTACCTCTCCCCTTGAGGATCCAATATTTTCTCCTCAGGTACGCAAAAACTTGGCTAGGTCCAGCACTGTGGTTAAACACATTGGTGTCCACTCTTCGTATTAATAGCCTAGTAATATGGTGTATTGGATCTAACAATATTGGATTAGAATCCAGTTCTACTGCTTCTGCATTCCTCCTACTCTGATTAAGTCATCCTCAACACTAATCATGGGATCCAGATTCCTAATTCGGCTATTTGGCTGAACATTCTTCCCGTTGCGTAACAAATGAAGCTCTTCGGCAAAACACTCTCTGAACCCTTCGAAGTAGTAGTAATTCAAGGTCTCTTACTTTGTGTACATCTAACGATGGGGAATCTGCACCATATATTCTTCTTCTATAAATCTCTAACATTTCTTCCCATGTTTGGCAATCTGATATATCCACCTCTGGTTGAACATTGTTTACCTCTATATGACCATTGAATTTTACCAGTTTTACTTCGCTGTCATCTTCTGGAACTCTTAATTTTTGCTGGGACCATTCAGTCATAGGACGCTTCAAGAATTGTGGGCTTTCCATCCATCTATCTTTGAGGTTTTCTGCCGACAGTCCTCGTGAAACGTCATCAGCCGGGTTTTCAGCTCCAGGAACATGTCTCCAATTTTCAGACTTTGTCTTACTCTGAATTTCCATGACTCTAGTACCAACAAACTGTTTATAGCAGGATGATGGCGTTCACTTCACCCACTTCATTTATAGTCGGCATTTCCAATGCTCTGATGTTATGAATAGCCTTAGTCTCTGTTCCACGCAACTTTAGTTCGCAAATTCTCGACTGGAAACTTTCTTCAACACCACCAACTTTCGTAATTGATGCGGATACAGATTTACCCTTGACTCCTAATTTGTTGGCGAATTCAGTCCTTACGAATGTTCCTTGCGATCCCAAATCCAACATCACGTTTGCCGTCTGACTTTCTTCTTTACCAATTACTTTGACCTCCAATACACAGAGCAATGGTTAGGTGTAGCAGCTTATGATGGAAATGGTCACATCGTCTGTCTCCCATCTGTTCCCCACATACCTTCTTTCTCTGTCTCTTATACACATCTAGATGTGTATAAGAGACAGCGTGTCATCGGCATAATTCCATCGAACACCAAGCACCTTTTGTTCATTTTCTTCCCGATCATCTGCATCCTTAACATCACATTTTAGTAGCTTGTTGGAGATCCATTCTTTAATGCTGAATCCTCCCTTGCTCAATATGATATCTAAATCTTCGGTGAGAGCTTTGGCCTCTTTAACGTTATTCACTGAAGCGCAAATATCGTCCATGTAGGTATCATTCTTCAGGACTTGTGCAGCTTTAGGATACATTTCCTCACTCTCTCTCTTGGCTGTAAGTTTGAGAGCAGTTTGCGCCATTGCAGCAGCTGGTTTGTCACCGAATGTTAAAACTTGCATTATATAGGTATCAGGTGGTCGATTGACATCTAGATCTCGCCACAAATATCTATGTATATGTTGGTCCACCTCAGGTATTAATACTTTGTGGTACATCTTTGAAATGTCGCCGCATACAGCTACTTCTCGTTCTCGAAATCTCATTAAAACACCATTCAGATTATTCAGTAAATCTGGACATTTCATCCAATAATCATTGATGGCTTCACCATTGCATTTATTCGCAGAGTTAAATACTATTCTCACTGGAGTGCTTTTACTTTCGGCTCGCACAACAGCGTGATGTGGCAGGTAGTGAACCGGTCCTTGATACTGCTTTATTTCAGTTTCCTCCAACTTTCTGGCGAATCCCTTTTCTACCATTTCTTCCATCTGCCTTTGGTAAGCAGCACCATGTTCTTCGTTCTTCTTTAGCCGTCTCTCTAAACCATTCAGCATCTTTGTAGCTTGGACTTTATTGTTTGGGAGGTGCATCGGATCTTTAGCCCATGGTAATGGAATCAACCACTGGTTACTAACTTTACTACTAGATTCTTCGATGAGTTTCGCTTCCATATTCTCAACTACACTAAGTTTGGCCTTGCAATCACAGTTACCCACATCAACTCCCATTGATTCGACCGTCCAGAAGTCGTCTAGATTGACTGATTTATCTACCATAACATGCATTACTCGGTTAACCATTTCAGTGTTGCCGTTGCTGCCAAAGATAGCCTATCCCAAAGGCGAGTTTAGAGCGACTAAGCCATCAGATTTTTTAGTTTCCCCCGTCATCAAGTATGCGTAGTCAACACCTATCAATATGTCAACTGGACCGTCACGCCTCTTTAACTTGTTTAATCGGAAGTGCTCCTCCAGTTTCTCTACGTTCACTTCACCCACTTCATTTATAGTCGGCATTTCCAATGCTCTGATGTTATGAATAGCCTTAGTCTCTGTTCCACGCAACTTTAGTTCGCAAATTCTCGACTGGAAACTTTCTTCAACACCACCAACTTTCGTAATTGATGCGGATACAGATTTACCCTTGACTCCTAATTTGTTGGCAAATTCAGTCCTTACGAATGATCCTTGCGATCCCAAATCCAACATCACGTTTGCCGTCTGACTTTCTTCTTCACCAATTACTTCGACCTCCAATACACAGAGCAATGGTTCATCGAAGTTTCTTACGTGCACGTTGTTTACGCCAACACTCTTGGTTAGGTGTAGCAGCTTATGATGGAAATGGTCACATCGTCTGTCTCCCATCTGTTCCCCACATACCTTCTTTCTTGTGCAATTATTTATACGGTGGTTTCTTCCAGCAATTTTGAGACAAGAGAAACAGGCATGATTCGTATTATGAAAAGAGGTAATGAAAGCATGATAATACAAGGGATCACCTTCATACTGCCTAACTTTAGTTTGTGGCAATGTCAATGCTCTAAACAATCCCATCAAATTAGAATCAACATTAGTAGAAACACCTATCACAGATTCATTATTTCCTGCTTCATTAACATTTGATGCATTCTTAATAGATAAGTTATCATTAGACAAACTATCATCAGATACAGTATTTACAGAAATATTATCATTGGTAGCATGATTTACTAAACAATTCTCATCACTCTGGTTTACCTCTACCACATCTTGTGTAGCTTTAGTTTCATTTCTGAATTCTTCTAATTTCGCCATCTCTGCCATAAATTCATCTTGACAGCGGCTCATCCACTCCTGCTCCTTTTCATAGCTTTCGTCGCTATCGATCAGTTCCACTAGCTCGTCGTGGCACGCTTCAACTAGTTCGAATCGTGACTTAGCTTTCGCTTTCACTTCAGCTATGTCTGCTTGGTTGGCGTTCCGCTCCACCAAAATGAATAATTCTTTCAGGACTCTTGTCAAGTTCCCTTTCCGGTTTCGTCGCTTGATTTTCAGTTGTTCGATCGTAGCCATTCTTCTCTCTCGCAGGTCAGCTCCAGTTAATCGAATTGTATGGAAAGGTCAGAACGACTACCCACAGGTTAGCAATAACGCAACTATACCACGGCTTGAGTTTGATATGAATTTGTTTATTCAAACGTTTTTCATTCGATTCTATAAAAATACAGAATGGAACAATAGCATGATAACATCATAAAACAACTGTAACTACATTTCATGAATATTTTGTACACGACATGAGTGGAGTTGCTCCCACCATGGCCAGTGAAAATCGGCGTACAGGCAGTGAAAACACGCGTACAGGCTCTCAAAACAGAAGGGGACATGTTGTGCAATATTTATTTATCTTCTGAATTTGAGAGTCTGTACAGTTGTTGCTTGCCCCTTTTGGGATTATGCAATGAGAAGAAGAAGACATTTTATGAATCATAGTAAAATAATCCTGAAATTCCTTATGGCAAACATAAGTCAAACTTGAAGATAGCATAAGTTCAGTCATTGAAACATAGTACATCATTAAATATACCAATAAAATCAATAAATGTTGTTGGAGTATAGCAATCATCATCATCCGTAAACAACCATATTGCTTACAATGTACAATGTAAATATCATATAGTTTTCAATTAACTTACAACTTTGCCGGGTATAATTACACAGTTCAGACGGATAATCAGTTCTGGTCACAGATTGTCATTACAGTACATGAATACTCCATATCCTATATTTCAAATAGAATCATTATAAGTTTGCAAATACTGTATAATCATAGTAGGGAAACATGCAATATTAAGGGTGCATTTTGAGTTATCACTGAACTAACTTCCAAGAATAAACTATCTTAAACAAAGCCCTCTTTGCATAACAAAGGAATCAAGCCTCCTATCTTAAACCACTGTTAATCCTCTACCAAGCATACATTTGTGCTAGGTTAACCAAAATCATTCAAGCGTGAAATACAAATTCCACAGTGAGTGTCTTTACACAACAGGTCTATATGGATAATGTTTAAGTCATACATATTGCTTAATATACCAATATTCATATATGCTCTAACATGGATACATAGAATAAATCTTTCATCATAAGGTATATAACAAGATAACAAATTGATAAGCATCAATAATATGTCTCAACATAGCTAAATAACAGTAGGCCTATGTCAAACAATGTGATGGCTCTATAGCTCATCATACAACATAATATCCATAATTAAGCCTAAACATCATTGTCATCAATAAATGAAGAATACAGTAACAATCTATAGACTTACATTATCATTTCACCTTAAGTAGACTTTCTTAAACCAGCATTAAACAGAAAATTATACATATTTTCTGGACAGCACAGAACACACGTTTGCACTTGCCGCTTCCTTGGCTTGCTGTGATTCACCAATGATGCACCAATGGCATCATAGACAATGGTGGCGCTATTTACATATGCTAATTAGCATCTAAGATTATATAAAATCTTACACAAAGAGTATCCAATGTAACCATCTAATTTATTTTTAAATCCTCATTCTTGAAAGTGAAATTATAAATTTTTTTTAAATTTTGCATGAAATCAGTCAACCACGTTGTCATGGTCGAGGTTGCTTCACCTATCACGATGTATTCCAACCATCATGAGGCTATCTATAATAATGAGCATTTGTTATAACAGAACGCAAGTTATTTTTAATTAGTCTCATTGAATTATTATTATTATTATTATTATTATTATTATTATTATTGTTATTGTGGTGGTTGTTGTGATGAAAAGTTAACACAAAAGATATGGTGGCTAAACGAATATTACATCCCATACATAAAAATTCTATACAACTTTATAAAACTTCTATAGAGTCTAATCAATTTCTACAGAAATTAGTATTTTCTATAAAATTGTTTTATAGAGGAACTAGTTTCTATAGAATTCTATATTAATAGATTTTTAATATAGTTTTAATAGCTTTTTAATAGACTTTTTATAGTGGGCTTCTATAGTTATTTCTATAGAATTTTCTATAGATTTTCTAAACAATTATGCTATAGACATTCTATAGTTTTTTTTTGATAGAATTCTATAGAATTTTTTTGTATGGGATGTAAATAATTTTTTTTATTTGTTTGTTCCCCGACAAAATTTATCGTCTTCCCGGACGGGGGGGGGGCTATAGCCCCCAGCCCCCTCTGGCGCCACCCCTGGGTGAGGGATAGGTTTAGGGACTACAGCCCCGCTCCCCCCGCTCCGCCCCCCATAAAATTTCCGTAAGGCTACCAATGTATTAGCGGTTCCAGAAATTTTTCTTAGAGTTTAAATAGATTTTATATACACATTCTATACATAATTTTTTTTATAGATATAATTTTTAAAATAATTTGTAATATTTCATTTACAGATAAACATTTCCATATCGTTCGTATACATTTTATATATACTTTCTATAGAGAAACAATTTTAAAGATTATAAACGTTTCCATAGAGTTTTTGTATGTAATTTTTTATAGACTATTAACAATTACAGTTTCTAAAATGACTGTTTGAAATATTATAAAGTTCTACAGAATATACTATAAAAATATATTTATTTTGAAATTTCATATATGTTATACTCTATATAGAATTTATATGTTCTTATAGAGATAATCCCTATAAAATTGTTATAATACATTACAACAAATACAGGTAAGGATTATAATTTTTTATAGAATAAATATAGAAATTTTATAGTTTTATTACAGAAAACTTGACATATCATTTGTATATAATATTCTATAGAATTTCTATAGAATATGCAAGATGTAAAACATGTTGGTAGGACTATACTGGTCGGACACGAATGTGTCAATAAAATATTGAATGAAACAAAAAAATTATTAAAATCATGGAAATTACATTAAATATATGTATATAAAATGTTATAGAATTCTATAGAAACTAGTTCCTCTTCAAATATATGATATTGAAACCTGACAAAGGAAATGGTATAGTATTACTCAAGAAAAACGATTATATTGCTTATATGATAACCTTATTTTTGGACACAAGAAAATTCACAAACATATCTGATTGCCGACTAACTACACAACTCAACTCCCTTCAAGAATATCTCCGAACACTTTTGAATAGAGGCGGACTTAATAATGATGAATATACAGATTTAGGACCAACCTCCACAATGCCTGCAAGAGCGCACGGACTTCCGAAAATACAAAAGGACTTTGATAATATTCCCCCGGTACGACCAATTATTGACACTACAGGTACAGTTTATTACCCAGTTGCGAAATTCCTAGCTAATGTTTTACGTCCTAACTGACAACACATACGTTTTAAAAGATTCGTTTGACGCTGCTCATCGTATCAAGGAGATACCCTCTCTCCCTATCATGCCGGTTATCGTTTTGCATCATTTGATATAGAATCACTTTTTACTAATGTTTTATTAAATAAGGTAATTAATATTGTGCTGGACCGAGTATATAATCAAAAACTGATAACCACCAATCTTAAGAAAACCACTCTCCGTAAATTACTTAAGGATACATGCACCAAAACGATATTTTCTTGTACTAATGAGTACTATAAACAATGTGATGGAGTATCAATGGGTTCTTTTGATCCTGTACTATCTAATATTATTATGACCGAACTAGAACAGACCATTATTCCTAATTTAGAACAATTGGGAATTATTAAGCTTTATGCACGGTTGTTGATGATACTTTAGTTCTTGCTAAGCCCTCTGATTTTGATCTCATTTTCCAATCCCTTAATTCGTTTCATTCACAACTTATGTTCACTTTTAAATCATTTGAAAATAGTGATTCAATAAATTTTCTTGACTTAAATTTTACAATGGTACACAAAATATTGGCATTTACCGTAAGAGTACGTACAA